TTGCAATACTGCATGTGGAACTGCTCCCGGGTCAGGAGAGCCTGTGCAGAGGGACAGCACACCATTCACACAACAGCACGCACAGGCTGGCACTGTCTGCCCAAAAAGCAGTGAGGAATATTTGATCACCTGGTCTCTCTCCGAAGCCACTTCCTCCATCTGCTGCAGGACAGCCTCAATCCTTTTTTTGTACATCTGGGAGTCCTTCCTCAGACATGTGCACTGTAGCTCCAGCACCTCTTTTTCCTCTGCAAACTGCCGAGACAAGGTCAAAAGCAGCTGCCTGTGAGCAGAGCCTGAGCCAGGCTGTCCCCACTCCTGCTCTGTGCCACAGATTGCTCTGGCCACAGCTCCCTGGGGTGTCAGCTGCCACACACACAGTGCTGAAACACAGGTACTACAGCAGGAGCAGCAGGGACTGCTCCTGAGCAGCTGCTCCACAGGCAGGACACTGCAGGTGCTTCACCTGCCTGTCTGATCCGTGAGCCTCAGCAGGGACTGGAGCAGCAGCACCTACTTTGTCCTGGAGCACCCTGGCCCGGCGCAGCTCCTTGCGCAGGCTGTAAATGGTGTTCACCAGCTCCCGCCGTTCTGCCACAGTCTGGCTGCAGTCATTCTCCAGGGTTTCCTTGGAGAGGCTTTTCTCCAAGTTCTGCTCCCTGGCAACCTGCAGGACAAAGGCAGAAGTGAGACAGGGCCACCATCTAAGTTCATATCAGTTCTGTCCACTCAGGGCTCTTGGACAACAGCTGATGCTCACAATCTTACTGCAGCATTGCTGCCCTGGCTGCTACCAATAATCCCTTCAGTCCATACTCAACCACCCCACCAACCTGGAGAGTGTTTTCCAGCTCCTGGTTCTTGGCCAAGAGCAGCTCCTTCTCCTGCTGGATCTCCCACACCACCTCGTGGCTGGGGCGCTGCTCTATGGCGTGTTTCAGCTTCATGGTGTGCTTCCTCTCCAGCTTGCAGTCATCCTCAGCCTTCATGAGGCTGTGCTTCAGCTGGTCAATCTACGAGAAGGTTCAGAGCTCAGCAGGAGAAAGCAGAAAGCTCTGGCCTGCAAAACCAGATCTCTGTTCCCCAGCCAAATACAGGCCAAGTTTCTCCCCAGCTGTTTTCCTCAGGAAGTTTTGTGCCCTGGGGCCAGAGTCCTGCCTGTGTGCTAACAGGTCCATGTTCCTGTGCTGCCTTTGTGAGAGCAGCCTTGAGTGAGGGCAAGTCTGATCATCATTCACAGCACAACTTGTAAAATTCAGGCCTACAGGGCTGAGCTAGGGACCACAAAGACATGCTAGAGAAGATGCTCAGTGCTTCATGCTGGACTGGAGCATCCTTGGCAAAGACAAGGTGCTCAGCCCTGCTTTCCAGGGTCAGGTAAGGAGGAGAAGCTGGAGAAACTGTGACTGACCTCTAGCAGCAGGTCCCTGTTCTTCATGAGGGCCGTGCTCTTCTCCTCGCTCTGCTTGGCGTAGCTCAGGGCCAGGCTGTAGTTCTCGTCCTTGCACTTGCGCAGCTCCTTGCTCAGGCTGTCCCTCTCCTCCTTCATCCTCTGGGCGCGCTCCTGGTGCTTGCGGAGCAGGCTGTCCCTGACCCACATCTCCCTGAGGGTGTCCTCCTTGGAGTGCAGCCACACCGCCAGCTCCTGCGCCTTGCGCCGCTCCTCCTGCACCGCGCTCTGCAGCTTCATGATCTCGTTCATCAGCACCTGGCTCAGGCCAGACTCGCCAGCCGTGTCTGTTTGGGGGGCTGGGGTCACTCTCTGCTGTCCTGGCTGCTGCCAAGGCACACCCAGAGCTCAGCTTCCCCTCCATATCACTGCAGCCAACGCTGATGGTGTGTGACCAAATTATCCCCACCATACCTCTCTGCTCTGTGCCTTCCTGCACTGCAGAGTCACTGGCACAAGAGGCAGAGGGAAGAATTCATCCTTCTGCTTCCTCCTCCCCCTCCCCAGTCCAGCCCGTGACACCAGGGCTGTTCTTCCCAGAACCCTTCCAAAGCATGCATGGAGCAAGGCAGGGAATGCTCCTGACTCTGCTCAGCAGCACCAAAGGAAGAGCTGTTGTTGTTGAGAACACAAACATTACCTATAATCATGGAGAAAACCCTGCTGGGCTCTTTGCCAGTTATTTTCTTATACAGCTGGGGATAATAAAGCTCAAGACTCTCCATAAATGCCTCAAAGCCCTTGTGTCCTGTTCGCTGAAGAATGTCCAGGAGAACACCTGAAATCATGGCAATAGGATATTCTATTCAGTTATTTCTCTCTTCACCTGTTCTTAACATAAGAAAAAATGGCTTCACTTCCTCCACATACAAAAGTCCCTGGGATCTAATCACAGAATAAATTAGGTTGGAAAAGATCTCTGGAATCATTAAGTCCATCCTATGACTGAACCATCTTGTCAACCAGACCATGTGCCACATGCAGGCTTTGTTTAAACACCTCCAGGGAGGGAGACACCAGCACCTCCCTGGGCAGCCCTTCCAGTGTCTGACCCCCCAGACAATCCCAAACCAATGGCCTGGAAACTCCACAGAAGGATTTGAAGTGCTCCCACCTGCCTTCCGCTTGCGCATGACCAGGCTGGGGTCGTTGAGAACCTGCTCCTCATCATCAGGGCTGAGCACTTTGCACTGGCGCAGGTAAGGGGTGATCCGGGACGGGTCAATCACTGAGATCAGCTTCACACGGAAGTTCTCCAGGTTATTCCAACAGATCTCATCGTTATCCTCTTCCAGCATGTCAGCAGTGAGGGGAATCAGTGAGGAGTACTGTCCTGTCTGGAAAAAAAAACCACCGAAAAACCAAACAAGCAGCCCCTGAGGCTCTCGGAGCAGTGGGGCAGTGGTGGTGAGACCAAGGACATCAAGAGTGAGAATGCAGAAGTGCCCTAATCAGCTGTTGCCTCTGCTTTATGAGCAACTCACTCTTCCTTCTCCACCTCCCAGCATGTGAGATCCCTGTGTTCTGTCTGACCACGCAGACACCAAATCTAACACCCACAGGAGCTGACACTTCACCTCAGAGCTGTGAAATAAACTTTTATTCCCTGTTAATATCAGCCATTCTGTATCACCAACCTTCACCTCTGCAGTCACAAAAGATTCCTTGATTCTCCGCTGTGTCCTGGCTCTGAGAAAACCTGTCTTGGGTGCAGCCTCCCTCTGTATTCTGACTAGAGAAAAGATAACTCCAGGAACAAAATTGGTTTGAGAAAAAAGGGGAAACTACTCAGCTATACCCTGAGACAGGAAAGGGAAGGACAAGAAGACGACAGATAAATAAAAAAAGCAGAAGCCAGAATGGCTGGTGGGGGAGGAGAAAGATGGTAGTGGCATCGTGAGTCAGCAGCAACACATAAGCAGTGATTTTAGATTAATTCTGGTTTTGTTCTCTAATCTGTCCCACTGAAGGACCTCCTGGGGTCCAGAAAGTCTCCTTGTGCAGTGGGTCAGAAAGACTAAAAGGAATGAAAGCCACAGCCATAGGTGTGTGCAGCTGATTTCAGGGGACAAAACAAGATACAAAATTAGAAGAGGCTCTTCAAAGGCTTTCCAGCCGTTAACATCTTCCTCCAGGAAAACAGGTGGCAGCAAGAACTCACTCTCACTTTAGATACAGGTCTCTTCAGCTGAAAAGGGTGATTTCTATACTGATGCCTCTAATTTTGGATGTCCTCAAGCTTCCAGCATAATGACAAGAAAGGGAGAGGGAATCAAGTCCTGGCAAAGCAAGGAACATCACCCATGATTCCCAAATGACAGGCTGTGGCCATGGCAGCAATAAAAGAGCAGCCCAGCAAGCAGCTGGGTTATGTGACAATGCTGACAATGCCATTGTGATGATGCTGAGCATCACCAGAAGACCTGAGCCTGCCTCCCCCCCTTCCCACAGCCCTGGAGCTGAACTCAGAACTCACTCAGTGTTTTTTCAAAAAGCCTGGAGAACACAGAGGCTCTGATGCCATGGCAGCATGACACATGTTCCCGTTAGCTTCCCACTCCCCTCTTTGTTCTGCTTTCTAAGTTTATGGAGAGTTTTTCCTTGTTATCATTAGGAGTAGGGCAGAGATGCTCAGAGATTCTTCCAGCCTGTGTTTCTTGTCATTAAATTAGCTTTACACTAAAAAAAGATGCAGTACCTGTGTCAGCTGTGCCCTTGCTGGAGGTAAATCAGTGTGTCTGTTAATTGACCAGTTTAGCCTGGGGAGGTTTTATTCTAGAGACAAATCAATTTAATCCTGAAAAAGGACAAAGCCAGCTGCTGCTTACGCAGTTTTCCCACAAATAAATGACAAGGGTATCTTTCCAGCAGCATTTGCAAAGGCCAACAATCATTTAGAGCACAGCTCACCTCTCCCACCAGTGTCTCACTGTAACAGCCTGGGCACAGCACCCACAACTCTGCAGCAGCTCCTTTTCCACAGCTGAATTTCCTGGAAAACTGGTATCTATAATGGGTTATGAAAAACAGAGTACACTGCAAGAGGAGAGCCTTCCACAATCATTCCTTTTGCTCCATAAAGTCTTGACACCAAATTACAGCAACACTGGCAGCCAGTGCCCCTCTGCTCCCAGCTCTGCCTGAAGAGCCCTCATGGAAAAGCTCAAACTCCCAACTCCCCACTACACTCAGGGGAGTTCAGTCAGTGCAGTAGAATGAAGCTTTCATAGCACTTTCCCTCTAGATTTTACCAGCTTTGCCTCAGCTAACCTTGCACCTCTCTGTGAGACAGAAATTGCTGGGTTATAAATGAAGAAACAAGTTTTTTTTTAAGTGATTTTGTGATGTCTGTACAGGGCAGGCTGTGGAAGAATCAAGGAAGAATCCTAATTCAATCCTGCAGTTTTAGGCACATGAATATTCATTCCCCCTATTTTCCCTGGTTTTCATGCAGCCTGAAAACTTCATTTTTCTCATTAGCAATCATTCTCATACACACATTATTAAAAGCACTATTTACCAAGAATAAAACCCGCACAGAACACATCAGTAATTTTTAAGTGAGAAAAATAAAACATCTGTATTTCAACAAATACTTAAGAGCAATTTTGATACAAAATTCTTCTGCTGCTTATTCCACAGTATTCAGTCAGTTACCAAGCAAAGCCACTGTCACAGCACTAAAAATCACCCAATTAACATATTCTGAACATGGATAAACATTCACATAAACAACACAAGAAGGAAATAAATAACCACCATTGCTTGCTTCCCCACATTTCCAGCAAAATTCCCCCTCAGAATCTATGGCAAGTGGGAGTTTGAAAGAGCAGAAGTCTGTGCCTGAAAGATTTCCCTCCAGCCAGTTTCCTTCATTTTCAAGGAAATGACCTTAGGCAAGGAAAAGGAAATCACCTTGCCTAGAGATGCAGATTTTGTTGAGGGATGGGAAAATCAATCCAGCATTTTCCTCCTCCCCAGGTCCATCCAGTCAGCATTGGAAGTGGTAAAGGTGAACAGTGCAAAGATTATCTCCTCCTGCCATGCAGGAAGGCAGTGCTCATTCCAGTGACCCCTGTAACAAAGCACAAACAGCTCCTATCAGTCACACATTTTTATAGGGAACTTGCCCTTTTGGAGTTCCTAAAACTGATTTTCAAGAAAAAAAATCTCTAACCAGTCTCATGTGACAACTGTGTGAATCAAACACTGCTCATGTTCATCCCATCCAGTGCACCAAAAGCCTCAGCAGGCATCAGGACATCACCCACTTGTACCCTGCAGAAGGTGACCTGTTATAACTGCACAGAAATGAAGCCAAAGAGGGGAAATATACCCCAAACCCCACCAAGTTGCTCAAAGATGAAGTATTCAAGAAAAACTCCACTCTCAAGCCTGTAGAGTGTTACCAATTAGGTGCATACTAAGTAGGATTCAGGGCATGAACTAAAAGGCTGCCAAATAAATGTTTGAATTATATATAATTTTATTGTAGAGACATAAACTTTCCCTCTCCCCAAAATATTATCAGCCTTAGGCTGTGCTTGATGGTGACTGCAGAACTCTGTGTCCTTGGGGAACAAGAGCAGAGATCATTTCAGTCCTTTCCTGGGGCCATGAGTCACTGTCTGAGCTGAACCACAGACAAACGTGGTTCAGCTTCTCAGCAAAATGTACAAACCACTGAGGAGCTACTAACACATCTCCTTCTCATGTCCTCCTCCTCTTCTTGAAGCGGGCACTTCTCCTGCTTTGGGGAGCTCTGGCATCAGCCACATCAGTGCAGGAGCCCGAGGCAGACTGAGCAGGGCTCTCCTCAGCCCCCATGTCCTGCAACACAAGCAGGAGATGATCAACACCACGAGAATTACAAATAACCCCTTCAGCCACCTTCCTGATTTAGGGAGCTCAGCAAGATTTCTAAACAACCTTTCATTTACCTTCAAAATGAAGCCTGGGACAACATTCCATTACCAACGTCAGAGAAGGCACAAAACATCAGTTTACAGAATGAAAACAAAGGCCTGATTTCAAAAAGGCAAGAGCAGATTATAAAAAGAAAGGGGAAGGGAACTTTGATACCCACTTCTGGGAACTGTCATGGCAAGTTTAAAGTACTACATAAACCATGAGATTTCATCCTCCCAGCTGAGCTGCAGAGCTTTTCCTTTCATCAGCTGTAGAACTGTGTTTATTCAAAAGGACCAAACAGTGGGGGCTTCCCCCTGGATTCCAGTGCAGTATTTATCTGGCAGTAATTTTCTACTTTTAGCCCCTGGAATCTGTTTTACCTGATTAAGTAGATCAGCATCTTTGACTCCAGGCTCATCCCCAAGTCTCCAGTCCTCCTGTACTCCTGTGAATTCATTCCCACAGCTCTCTTCCTCAAACAGTTTTTTCTCACTCTGCCACTCCTCGTCATCACTCTCCTCAAGTTGCTGCCTGATGGCTGACAGAGTTGTTGTCACTCTGGGAGGAGGCAGAGTTGCCAGGACAGCTGGCACTGTGAAGGCTGCCAGGAATCTGGCTTTCAGCAGGAGGTAAGCAGGGTTATCCCCCAGTTTCTGCTGCACCAGTTCTCCAATAGCATGGAAAACATCCCCAGTGCCCCCGTCCCCGCTGGCCTCGGAGGGCAGGAGAGAGGCTGCTTGCTCCTCCAGAGCTGTTTTCTGCAGAAGGAGCTTTGAGAGGGTTTTTATGCTGCAGAGGAAAGGTGGCAGATAAGGCAGCCTGGTCTGCAGTGATGGCACCTGAACTCCTTGTTTCCCACTCAGCCACTCCTTCACCAGCCCCTGGTCCTCCAGGGAGATCAGGCTGAAGTCAAGGAGATTCTTCTGTTCATGGGAGGTGCTTGGCTGGGGGGGGACGTCAGTGCTTGGCTGGGGGGGGACATCAGTGCTTGGTGGTTTGGAGGCAATGGGTCTGTTCCTCCGTGCCTGGGCACCAGAGCAAGCAGAGCTCCCTGGGACATTGCTGTGAGGAGCTGCAGCTCTTTCCCGGAGCACAACCCCTCTCCTGATGCTGCCTGGATTGGAGGATGATCCGCTGGTTGTGATGGAGTCACCGCTCCTTCCCACGCTGAGACTGGGCACAGGCTGGGAGCCAGAGCCCTGAGTGCTGGCAGGGGGCTGTGCCTGGGGCAGCACCACGGCACACAGGGCAGGGCTGGCAGCTGGAGGGGCAGCTGGAGCTGCACAGGAGTCTGGAGCCGTGGAGGAGCCATCTGAACACGCAGGGGTTACAGCAGAAATGCTGGATGTGGTGCATCCAGCACTCACTGGGGTCACAGGTAAGAGATTTGTGCTCTGGTCAGCTGCCTTTCCCAAAGGAACTCCTGCCAGCTGGGAACTTGGCCCTTTTGTCTCTGCACTGCTGGGGTGAGGTGGATTTGCTTCAGCTGGTACAGGAGTCCCTCCCAAAGCAGAGACATTGCCATTGGAAGTCACAGCTGTCCAACCCTGGCTTCCCCCAGGAGCAGCTGGCATTCCCTGGGGAACACCCACCACAGTCTGCATAGGGCTGGGGAGCAGACCCTGGGGGGTTACAACCCACCTGAAGGGCAGGATGCTGCTGGGAATCACGGGAGAAGCAGCCTGTGGAGTGACAGGAGCAGGCTGCAGTCTGACTGGCCTCTGCTGTGGCCTGTTACTCTTCAGCTCACAGCTGACTGGTGTGGGAAGGGACAATTTCTTGGTGCCAGAGTCCAGGCCAAGGGCCACCACTCTGATCTGCTGAGGGACAAAAGCCTGGTTTTGCAACACTGCTGAAGCTGAGCTACTGGCTGTGACCTGACCATTGCACCCTCCCTGGTCTGGGGCCTTCTCTGCTGCAGCTGGACTCACACCTGGAGAAACCCTTCCTTCAGGGCTGCTTTCCAGAACTTCCTTTTTTAGCTCCTTACTTGACTGTAGATCTGTCCCTTGTGAGCAGGCAGGGCTCTCCCCAGTTTCTGGCACTGCTGAGGAATGGTTTTCAGGCACAGGAGCAGAAGCAGAACCTGCAGCAGAAGTCCTTGTGGGCACTGGTGAACGCTGTACTTGGCTATCTGTCCCAGCAGCTGCTGCAGGTTGTGCAGAGGGAATGATTTGCTGTGCTGGGTGCTGGATTATCAAAGGCCCTGAAACCAGCACCCGTGGGGCAACCACCACTGTCCTCTGCATGGCTGTCTTGGCCTGGGACTGCCTCAAACGCTTCTCCTGCAGCAATTCTGAGACAGTTTTCATCCTCTGCCTTTGCCCCTGCACAGCTCTGGCCCGTGCTCCTTTCAAGGCAGTTTTCCTGACAGCACTCTTTGGCATGCCCTGTTGGGAATTCCTCTGAGAACAAGCTTGGGATGAGCTGCCTGCAGAGGATAAAATGACAATGAATGAACAGTATTTCCAAAAGCCATTTCTCATTAAACGTCAAGGAATGTGGCAAAGTTCCTGTTTGTGAGAATTCCTGCAACACTACAGACCTGACTTAATCAAGCCATGTCCCAACAACTGAACAAGGGGTAAAAACTGCCCCCAGAAATCAGAGATGGGCCAGGAATGCACCCTAACCCCCCACTGAACTGGTCCAGAGCCACTGATTCCCCAGCCCTCCAGGGTTTTTTCCAGTCCTTACCAAAGGGGAACATGCTTAAAGATCCAAGAGCTAGCAAAAATGAGCATGACAATGCAGGTTTGTCCCCCAAAGGCTCTCCTTCAGTTAAACAGGTTATTAATGTTACAGTGATGAATTATGTGAAAGCTCTTGCACATCACAAAAATAAATGTTCTGGTAGGTACCTGAAGAAGTCTCTGTATTTTGGGAAGCCTGTAAAAAAAAAAAAAAAAAAAAAGTATATTAAATTATACTTCTGGTAAATTTAAAGATGATTAAAACAGCACAGATGTGAATCAAACCCACATCTGCCACCTCCTGAACAAATGGCCATACAGCCAGCACTTTATTCTGCCTCTGAACCAAAACAGCTAACACACATGTAAATTGTGTGACCACACAATTAGAGTGCTTATTTTAGTCAAGACTTCAGTGGGGACAGCTTAAAACCACAATACCTGCTGAGGGCTCCTTGCATTAGCCTTAAGCAGCTCCAACTGCCTCAGCTTCCTCTCCTTGATAATCTTCATACAGCCTTTGGTATCAATCTGGAGGAGCTGCAAGGTGAGAGCTTCATTAACATTTAAATGAGGACAAAAATGTATTGCTGGGGTCAGTGACAAAGCAAGATAGAAGGACATGCTTCACATGCAAGATTCTGGGGACATTTTACACTTACAGTAAAAGCCCTGGCAGGACCAGACTTTGGATGCAGGACTTAAGTGCAAATCATGAGGGCAGATTAGTCCAATAATTGGATTATTTGTTTAAGAAACAAAGATAAATCATTTATTTAAGCCTCAAATGCCAAAAAATAAAGACTCCCACTGTTTGAAAGTAGGCAATGCTATTAAGACAGTAAAACTTACCTGAATGAGCAGTACAAACAGGGGAGTGCTGCTGAGACTCACTGACTTAACCTTCTCATGAATAGCAGCAGCTGGGAAGAAATCCAACATCAAAATCAGCTGGGAATTCACTCAGAAGACATCAGAAAGTAGGGACAAAGGTAGGATGGGTCCCCAGTACCTTTTGTGTGCTGGAAAGCCATCCTGCCAGCCTGCAGGGTGCGGGGCAGCAGCACATTGCCCACCCAAGGGGTCATTGCCAGCAGCAGCTTCCTGTCCAGGTTCAGACTCTTCCAGTGCTCCCTGCTCCAGAGCTGAGCTCTACTGGAGAACTCCAGCAGCTTCTGATCATCCTGGCCAGATGCTGCAGCCACTCCAGGGGGCCTGGCTAAAAGGCTGGTAAGAGGTCTCAGCATCTTTAATTGCCATGCATGAAAAAATACACAATTAAGAGTTCCCATTAGGAAGGTTCTGCCATTAGTCCCAGGACAAATCATCACAGGACAAAAAACTGTAAGCTTTTCCTCTTGGGATTACAGTGCAATATCTGTGATTATATAAAAATAAATTCCTACTAAGCACAGCCTGGCAGTGCTCACGTCACAAGAGTAGACAAGACACAAGAGGCACTCACCAGTTTCCTCTGGAACCTCATGTTTTTATTTAATATTGCTCTCATATCCTCCAGGCTAACCCGCAGCACGTATTTTCCACTCTGAGAAGCCTGAAGATGAAAGAACACAAGAAAACACACAAGGAAAAGTCAAAGGAAATTATTTGCACTGGATATGCACAGCAGGTACAAGTTCTCAACATTCCTGCTGTTGAAGGTATCTTATTAAATGAAATCAACTCCGAAGACCTTCACTTTTAAACCTTGTGCATCATCACAACACCAAATGCCTATTTCAGAGAAGCTTTTGTGTGAGGAATCTACCAAAAACCCAAAACCAAGAATTTGCTGGGTAATTATCTTCAGATTTTTGTACTTAACAACACAAGGGAATGAACAGCAAGATGTTACCTGCTCATCACATCCTGCCCTTACTGCAGCAGCTGCACTTCCCTTCTAACTTCTGATCCAAGCTCCCATCCCAGCTCACCTTGGCCATCACTTCTGCTGGATTCTTCACCAGCACATCTGTAGAGTGGGGACATCCAATGCCCATCAGCAGGGTGTTCAGCTCAGATGATTTATCAGCAGCTCTGTCTCCATCACACCCTGCCCTTGGAAGGTCACTGCAGCTGCTCCCTGCGTCAGCCCCGGCAGCAGAGAGGAGGGATTGGATGTGGCATCTCTCTCTGGCTGCCTCCTCTGTGTCTGTCCCTGTTGGTATCCACAGGTCAATGCTGGGGACTGCAAACTTCTTTCTTGTGCTGCTGGTCACCACCTCCTCCTCTGAGCTGTCTGCCAGCTCCAGCTCCATGTCCTCCTCACTGCTGCTCTCTGAAGGGCTGGAGCTCTCCTCAGCGTGGCGCCGTTTGCTTGCCTCAGATCTTTTCTTCTTGATCAAAACAAGCACACACAAGTTGTAGTCAGTGTTCACCCCTGGCTTGCAACTCTCTCAAATCAGGAAGTCTCCTTTTCCAAAGGAAATAAGACCATCTTTAATATGGTCTTAAGCAGCCAGAATTTCTTGAGTGCCTGGGACCAAAATTGGCAACTCATGAGGTACAGACATGAAAACCTACATATATCCCATTCTTACAGGCATTCCAAGACAGGAAAGGATTCTGGATGATATACAAATATATAGCAAATTAACTTCAGCCCTTCAGAACAAAGGCTGCTTTACCCACCAAAAAATCAAACGGTGAAATCCACAACAAAAACCTTGACTGTGTGGAATCAGTGTCAATATTTTTATTGATTTCACATGATTCCACTTTTAGTTTAGAGAAACTTAATTGAAGAGATGGGACTGTGACACAGCAGGATTCCCACAATACCTTGGAGCCAATCATGAGTTTCCACTTGCTCAGGCACTGGGCACCAGTCCGATGGGGCAGCTCTGAAGCTATTTTACTCCAGCGACCTGAAAAGGATGCAGAGGGTGCAGAACATTTTTATTTGTGCCACAAACTGAGCAACAGGCCTTTCAATGCAGCCACTACACACACGTTATACATTTCCCTGGATAAGAGACAGAGTTACTGCCTGAATGGATGTCAAACCCTTAATACCCACAATACACAATACAAAGAAGTTGCAATCATCAGTACAAAGCAGAGCCTGCAGGGCTTGCAGTAAAAGAAGGGAAAACCTCAATGACACCTCTAAACTTCTATAGATCATGCCACAGAAGCACCTACCCAGGCCGTGCTTTTGAACCAGTTCAATCAGCTGCTCCTCTTCCTCCAAGCTCCACCTTCCTTTCTTTACATCCCAGTGCAATGATTTTAAATACCTTCAAAATGAAAACATTACAGCCAGGAACATTCAATCCTGTTTGTAAGAATCAGAAACCCAGCACTCCCAGTCAGAGCTTTCCCTTGTTCAGGGGCTGGTGCCTGGCCTGAACTCACCTGTCCCGGCACTGCGCGTCGCTCCTGCCCGGCACCTCCGTCCGGATTTTGTACCAGCTCTTCCCCTTGTACTTCTTAACTGCAGCCATCAGCATCTGTGTGCAGACAGAGCAAGAGCTGAAATCCTCACCAGGATCAACCCAACAGGCCTGAGACAGCAGCAGTTCTAGTTGTTTTCTGTGCAAATCTCTGGACAAAACTGTTCAGGAGCTCCTAAGCCCTCTTAAGCTGCGAAGTGCCCACCTTGGTCTGACTCCTCTGTGCCACTGCTAAAGCTCAGATCTACAGCCATGCCACACCTCAGCAGCCCAACATTCCCACCCTGCAATTCCAGACCCAGAGAATGGAGCTTACAGCATCTTCCTCTGGTGTCCAGGGTCCTTTCTTCAAGCTGGGGTCCACACTCTTTGTCCAGCGGTAAATCAGCTGAGCAGAATCTCTTCCTTCCATGTAATAGGCAACTGGAAATTAAAAGGTTTATTTAACTCTGTTGTAATTAATGCTTCTTCCTTTATCTGGACAACAGTTGCAAGCAGTGCTTGCCATAAGCAGCACTTTAATCTCTTAAAAAATGGTGCTCAGCCAGTTTCAGCCAAACTTCCAATATAGATAAAGGTTCTAAGAGATATTAAGCTCTTGCTGATACAATGAAACTCCCAGATAGGTACAGGAAAGGCAGAGATCACCAAGGAAAAGAGAATGGGAGAGTGAAGCATTCCAGGTGAATGTAAGGTTTGTCACTTGTGGGCCACTTACTTTTCTTGTATGGGATATGGCTTCCCACTCTCATCTCTTGAACAAGCTCTAAAAGCATCTGATCCTCATCCTTGGTCCATTCTTTCCTTTTTAAATCTTTGTTAGAGAGTTGGTACTTCTGCAAGCACTGGAAAGGTGTCCTGTTTGTCTTAATACAGGGAAAACAGAGAGAAGCAGGTAATTAGTTATTTATGAGGACAAAAAGCAAGAGGGAAAAGCTAAAGCACCAAACCTTTTTGGTACTGTTCTTGGATACTCCTCAGAAAGCATGAATTAACACTGAATTAATATTAACATTGTTTTTTAAACCTGACAAGAGGCAAAGTAAAGCCAGAATGAACCAACTTGCCAGCTCAGACCTTACCCCCAGCTCCTGGGCAATGGCCTGCCAGTCCAGGCAGTTGTGTTCAGCAGCTATCTGCTTCAGCCTGTCCAGCTCCTCCTCAGTCCATTCCTTTTTGTTGATGCTTGGATGCTCCCAGTTTTGCCAAAACCACCTCAGTTCTTCTGAGCTACGCTGTCCATCAAACTAAAAAAACCAACAAAAATATGTTTAGTCTCAGAGCTGGGATTAAGACACCTGGACAAACAGGAAAACCAGTATTTGCATTCCAGATATGTCTTACTGACAAGTTTTCCAAAATTAAATCACCAAATTTAACAAGTTGAGATCACTTAAGTCAGCTTGGAGAAATGCAAGATGGAAACACTGGATGCAAAGCAGATCAGGGATTCTCAAGAGGAAGGACCCAGATATCAGAAGCAATAAAACAGCTGATCCCCCAACTCACATGGATGTTTGAAATTTTGTCCCAGTCATGCTCATCAAATCTGTTTCCTATTAAGTCACTCTCTGGGAGTTGGCTAAAGCAGAAGGTACAAAGAGGAAGAAAGAATCATATTAAAGGGTTAATGAAACATTTTGTCTTCTTGATCCTGCCTCATCTCATTCCTCCCACCTGTTCCTGACTGCCACAAGAACTGAACACTTGGATTAGCAGGAGAAACAATGAATGTCATATCCAAACATGTTGCTCTAGATTTGTTCATGAGCAAAAGCTCAAAAATATGAAAAAAAATCAGAGTTCTGCTCCTTTGTTGCTAAAGAACACTGGGTGCAGGCACTTTGTATATCAAGACCCAAACACATTTCTTAGTGAAGAACAGTGGAGAGGAGAGAGCTGCAGAGCCACAACAGCACCTAACTTTTTACAACCCAACACCAACGACCCATCTAGAAGCAGAAGAAGGGAAGTTTTAGAGCTAAACTCTAAGACATTTCATTTTTCACCAAGAACACAGAAGGACTTCTTACTTAATTGCCTCTATTTCTTGCTCCAAGTCTTTGATTTGCTTTTCCAAGGGTTGTTTTTCTGTTTCAGTCGTGATTTTCTCCAGTTTCTGATTCCAGTAACTCAACCTGTTCAAAGACATTTTTATCACTACTTAAAAGGACAGATGGGAATGAGGTCAATAGCATCAGAAGATGTACAGCAGAGACACCTTCCCCATCAGTATCATTCCTCCCTTCAGGTTTATTTCCACACAAAACTGTTCTCCCACGTTTTCCCTCAAGGCACACTCATTTTTGCCCCTTCAATGCAATCCCTGACCCACAAGAGGTTTCAGATAAACCATTTTGGTGTTTACACAGAGAACCAATGCTTGCTGCACTAGCCATAAAGAACTGTGCCAGCTCCAGCACAGAAATCCCTTGCTGGACACACCATTAGGCCTCACCACACATCACAATTTCAGCTTCAAGCCCTGCCAAGAATTTTAAGCTACACCACAGTGCCAATGGGAAGAATAGATGGCAAAATCCTACAAAGACAAGCAATTAACACAGGAAGGGGAAATCTGCACATGTCCCTTCTCCTCCTTTGCCATGCAATGCTCTCAGCAGGAGAAGAGGGGATTTTGGGGCAGAACTCACTTGAGCAGCTTTGGCTGGAGCAGGCGCTGCAGGCGGTCGCTCACCACGGATTTCTGCAGCAGGGTCTTCTCTGCAGCTTTCCCTAAAGCAGACAGGGGAGCAGGCAGACATCAGTGCAGAACCACTGCCAGGAGACACCCAGTGCTCCCAGCACCCCTGGGAATGCCCTCCAGCTCTGCAGGGAGAGCTCCCTGCATAAATCACCAAGGTTGTGTCAGACCTGGGCAGGGCACAGCCTCTGGCTCAGTTTTACTGGGATCTGCAAAGGGACCCCAAAAAAGGAACCACCCCGTGAGCATCTGGAGCTGCAGCTGTCCCTTGAGCTGCCCTCATCTGGGCACCACCCTTGCACCACCTTACCTGGTTTGGGAGTGCTCAAGGAGCTGAGCAGCAGAACAAATGAAAGAGGAGTCATTAATTAATGACTCACTGAAAGAATTTACAGAGCACCCCATTCCCTTCTAACAACTTTTTGTGAGTCAGGCAGAGGTGGTGATGTTTAACTGCAAGCAGGAACACACACACACAAACAATATTGATATATACATTTGTTATATGAATATATACATTTGTTATATGAATATATACATTTGTTATACTAATAAACTGATGTTATAGCTCTTCTAGAGCACTGAACAGCACCCAGACTTACTTACACTTGGCTGAGTGCAGCTGTTCAAAGGATTTTATGCCCTGAGCTGCCTTTTCCTTGGCATCTTCATTGGAAGGAGGGCCCTGATGAGTATTAGAAAAGTTAGATACAATTAGAGTCAGGCAAAATTACTGTTTGTTCTTAAAACTCCAGCATGAACTGCTACAAAAATAACTGAAAACTCAAACTTGTGCAAACTGTCACACTCACACTGCTTAGTTACACTTGTTAGCAAGAGCTCACATGTACATCATTTAATTATACAGAAATATTACCAGTAATTGCTTGAATATATATAATATTAATATCCATATTAATATATGGATGATGTTAGTTGACATCTTGGCTACCACAAAAAGCCAATATTTGCATTCCCTGATGGCCTTTTAAAAACACATGAAAAAAAAAAAAAAAAGTACTACTGATTGTTCCAGAAAATATAAAAAAATACAGAAAATCTCAGGAACTGAGAAAACTCAGTTTCACAGACAATCAGATTTCAGTGAGGGCTTTAAAGAGCAGCATGGACAATTAAAGTTAAGTTAAACCCAGGACCTTTCAAGCCCCTGGTGGCTGCAATTCCACTCCTCAGACCTCACAGGGCTGAACAAACATTTCCAAAAGAGGGAGAATGACAAGTGAGGACAAAAATGTTTCAGGCTGAGGAGTGACAATCAGTTACACACCTGAAATGAGAACAGTTTAAACACATTACAGTGTACAACCATCACTGAAGACACATCAGTCTGTTACTTACAATTCCTGTTATTTTATCCTTAAAGTATGGCTTCAGAAAATGACCCAAAAACACATTTGCTGCTAGATTTCTGCCATCTCCTGCCTTGGCTGTTTTTGAACCATGCAGCTCACCCACGATTTCTTTCTGCAATACAAAAATGAATTGAACAGCCTCAGTGTCTCCTCCAAACTTCTGATTTCAGAGAGCAGAGGCTGAGCCTCACAAACACCCCAGGCAGGGCTCAAACTGCAGCACCAGACTCCAAAATCAGTGCAGGACTAAAGGAAGGATTTGGAACTTCCTCAGTTTGCACACTGCAGATAATTATAAGCTTAATAAAATACTAACTTGCCACAGCAAGCTAAAATACAACATGTAAAATACTCTTTTTTATTGTAAGAAAGCATGGAACCATCAGTTAAATAAACCAGCTCAGTCCTGGGCTTGAGGGGAAGGAAGGATGGCAAATGGCAACCCAGAGAAGCACAGAAATGAGCATTTCACTCCTGCTTTGCTCACCTGCTGTGCTCTGTTTTGTGCAATGAGCAGCTCCACCTCCTCAATCTTTTCCTTGATAACGTCCTGGTACACATGGTTCATCTGCAGGCAGGTTTCTGGATCCTGGGGCAAGCTTTCAATATCATCATCATCATCACTGCTGTCTTCTGCTCCATCCACTTCCACTTCCTTGAGGCAGAGAAGGCATTTAGGGAGAAAAGAGAGAAAAGCAGTTGTTTGAAAAGCAGTGCTGTAACTCAGCCCTTCCTCAGCTGAAGCTGCTGTGTGCCCACAGCCTGTGGATCACAAAATCCTGGGCAGGAACACCCCAAATCCAGGTTTTACTGAGCACAAAGACAAGGCAATTGCCTGGATTTCCCCAGAGCAGAGTGAGGTTTCCCTTCCTCCTGTTCCCTTCAATAGACAGCTGGAAATATAGACTTAACAAAAAAACATTTACCATTTCAGCATAAGAAACTTCATCATCATCATCTTCATCATCACCATCTGTCAGACAAACAAAACACAAAAATGCTGACTGTAGTAAGCTTTAAACCCAAATATTTCCAATTAAAGCACAGAGGAAAAAGCACGAGAGACATGACCATCAGTGGGTTTGGATACTGACGACGCTGTCATGTAAAAAGTGCATTGTTATAGCCCATTTATGCATTTTTTGTTGTTCTGGAGAAGATAAAAACGAGCAGCTCTGGGTAAGCACAGCAGAGCTGAACGGTGCTCCTGCACTTGAGAGGCTCCCGGGAGTGAGCCAAGTGACAATTCCAAGGCAGGACGACACAAACTGGGCACCAGCAGCCCCGAACACCGGGGTGCAGCCCCCAACACCGGGGAGCAGCCCCCAACACCGGGGAGCAGCCGCTCGGACAGCGCTGCTCCCGCTGGCACCGAGCTCCGCTGAACGAGCCGCAGGAGCTGGGCACGCTGCGGCTCACCCAGCGCTCTGGGCCCCGGGATTTCACGGCTGCCGGTGTTCGGCTGCAGAGGGAACGTGCAAAGCGCCGGTACCGGGGAGCGCCCCGAACCCGTACCGGAGCTGAGGCTGGAGTCGGATAGGGCCAGTTGGATGTCGGTCCCGCCGGGCTGCAGGCTGCGCTCCAGCTGCTCGATCTGGCGGCGGATCTTCTCCCGCTCCGCATCGAGGTCGAGGCCCTGAGGGGAGCGGAGGGGCCCGGCCGGGCCCGGCCCGCGGGACATGGCGGCACCGCCGCTCCCGGGGCTGCGCTGGCCCCGCCCGGCCCCGCCCTCCCGCTCCGCCAATCGCTGCTGCGAGCGCGGGTCAGGTGATACGGCACGTGACACGGCGCAGCCAATCCGGACGGGGCTCGGCGCACATGCACAGCCGGGGGGCGGACCCGGGACCCGCAGAGATCGGACCGGGACCAGGACACGGCGTTCAATGGCACCGGGGCACCAGGACACGGCCTTTAATGACACCGCCTTCAGCGGCACCGGGACACCGCGGCACGGCCTTCAGCGGCACCGGGACCCCCGGCCCGCAGTGGCACCGGGACTCCGCCAGCGCCGGCGGACCCACGGGCCTTCCCCGCTCCGCGGCAGAGCACCGAGCGGCAGCGGGAGCCGCAGCCAAGCCCGCGGTGCTCGCCGAGCGCAGCCCGGGGGTGGCGGGTGCCCCGGAGGAGGAGCCGCGGTGCCGGCCCCGCGGGAGCGGCGCTGCAGGCGGGTCCCTGCCGGTTCAGGGATCTCTTGGCTGTGGATGCACCGCGGCAGGGGATGGAGAAGCCCAGGTGTGCAGTTGGACGCGTCAAAATGAGGCCAAGTATGAAAAATTCACTTTTTAGTAACGGTTTCCATATGAAAACAAAGTCGTCCGTGCTGTGTGAGGCACTCACTGTCCGTGCTCTGCCACCTCAGAGATTCTGTCTATGGATTTCAGGAGATCAGCCACGAGCTGCAGGGATTCTGCCCCAGACAGCAGCTGCCTGCAGTGGAGAGATGCAGTGTTACAGGTGGGGACAGGCAGCCAGGCAGTTTTGGGGGAGTTTCCCCACATTCTGTGATTTATCAAGCAGCATTTTATCAGGACTGGAAACTCAAAGACTCCCAATTCCCACTTATTTTCACACTTGGAGGAAAACACATGGAGGGTGAGAACACGGAGCAGCTCCTCTGGCACACAGCACAAACCCCTGGATTTTAACCCTAAAAACACCCACTGGGGACGTTTATCCGTGAGCCCCCGTGCCCGAGGGGTGCCAGGAGCGCTGTCCCGGCGCAGCTGACCTGATGGATGCTCGGGAGCTGGCTGTCACCTGCAGCAGCTGCTGCAGCGCCGCCTCCGCGTTCCGCCTGGCCGCGGCCAATCCCGCCTGGCCCGCCCGCAGCTCCTCCTGCTCCCGCCGGGAATTCCTCAGCTCAGCCTGAGCAAAAAGGGCACAGTCCATGAGAAACGAGCCCGGAAGGGCAGCAGATGCTCTGCAGCTGATGATGCATTCTTCCCACAGCAGTTGATGGGCGTGGAGTGTAATCATTAACTGATACACGGACAGGGAATACAATAAATAATGCAATAAATAGTGACTAGAGCCCAGAAGCAGCTGCCTGCAGGGAGTGTCTGCCCACAAACACAATCAGCAGGGCTGGAAAGACCTCTGGATGCATCCAGTGCAACCCCTGCCAAGGCAGTGTCACCTGCAGCAGGGGACAGGAACAATTCCAGAGGTCTCCAGGGAAGGAGACTCCCTGAATTCCCTGGGCAGTTTGCTGCAGGGCTCTGCCCCCCTCCATGGAAAGAAGTTCTTCCTCATTTCAGTTTGTGGCCATTGCTCCTCACCACTGAAATCTGGCACCATCCAGGCCCTCACTGAGCCTAAAAACACACCCAGCATTTTCCTCAGAGCCTGCAAAACCCTTGCAGCTCAGTTCTGAGATGTGTCCCTGCAGCCCCAGCAGTGCTGCTGCCTACCTGCAGCTGGGCATTCTCCTGCCTCAGTTTGGCAGCACTGTTCTCAGCCTTGGCAGCCCTTTTCTGCAACAGAACAGAGATTATTGAAATAATAATAATAATAAATTTATTTATGATAGAATATCATTATATATTAGTATATTTACTAATGTTACATATTAGTGTATATATAATAAATAATTATTCTATAAGAATTATAATTATCAAATTGATAACTGAAAATAATATTATAATACTAATAATAATAATAACTTATAATTATCAAATTGATCACTGAAAAGAATATTATAATGCTACTAATAATAATAATAATAACAATAACTCAATTGAAATCATAATAATAATAACCCAGGCAGGCTTAGCCACTTGGGAATGAGTGATTCCAGCACAGAACCTGGAGGGATAGGGTTTGTGTTCCACCACACTGTGTTCTGAATGTTTTAGGAGGTAGGAACAGCTCCCTCCTTCCCTCCTCACTGCTCCTTTCTGGGATCTGCAGAACCTCCCCACCCTCACAGGGGAGAATTTCTTCTGACACCTGATCTCAGCCTAAAGCCAACACTTACAGTCATCAGCTGCAGATTCTGCTCCACGTGCTGCACCATTGCTTCCAAATCCTGTGCTTCCTTTTCTTCTTTGATTTTGTTTTCCTCAAGCTTCTTCTCAAGCTTCCTCATCCTTAAAAAAATAAGAGATGGCACACAGTAAGCACTTGTACAATTAAATACTTTAGGAGGGAAATTCTGGGAAAGGATCAAGGATCTCATGGTTTTGTGTTACAAGGAAAATGAATTCTTCTCACTCACTTGTCTGCTTGAGTTTCAGCCAGAATCTGAAGCTTATTGATCTTGCTTCTCAAAATAGCATTCTCTTCTTTTAGCTAAAAAAAGAAATAAAAAATTCTTATTAACACTGAGGTGCATTTTCACAACAATACCAACAATCCGAGATCAACAGCAGAATACTCAACTTTAATACTAGAAATCCTTGTGCTTTGTAATACATTCAAGCTTAATTTTACCTTCAGCTTACCCATCTGGAAACCACTGTGGGGCACAGGAACGTGGCACTGAACCACCAATGTAAACGGGACTAATTAATGCTGCCAGTCCTAAATGAACATGACCTCAAGGGGCAGGGCACGAGGAAGTCACCCGGGTCATGTCTCAGCAGCACAGAGAGAAAACTGGACCTGACTGTGGTGAAATGCACATTTCCAGAGCTCGTTCTCCTCCTGGGCAGCCCTCGGTGTTGGCAGGCCGAGCCCGGCTCCGACGGAGCGGCGGGCGGGCGGCAGCGCTCACCTGCTCGTAGCTCGGGACCGGGGCGGCTCCGGCGCTGCCCAGGTGGGCCTGCTCCACGGCCAGCGGCCGGTAGCTCTCGCTCCATTCCTCCTCCTCGTCCTCCTGCTCGTCCCCCGACTCTGCGGGCACCGCGGGCAGCGGGGGCACGGCGGGCCCGGCCCGAGCCGCCTGCGGAGGGGACAGCGGGCTGAGGGGCGCGTGGTGACGGGACGGCTCCCGGCCGCGCTGCCGCGCACGGCCTTACCTGTGCGTCCCCGCCGCGGGACTTGGAGCGGACGAACTCGCGGAAGGAGAAGGGGTTGGGCTCGGCCGGGGCCCCCGGCAGCGGCTCCGGCACGGCCATGGCCGCCTGAGGGCGGCGCGGGGCGGGGCCTCCCGCTCGGAGCGGACCAATGAGCGCTCGTTCTCCGCCGCCACGCCCAACCGCGGCCCCGCCCCCTGACGCACGCTCCCGGTGGCGGCAAGATGGCGGCGGCCATGGCGTGGCTACGGCGCGGCGCCTGCGGCCCGGCCCGGCGGTGAGCGGGGCCCGGCACCGCGCGGGGAGGGCACGGCGCCGCTGGGGACGGCGCGGGGACAGCGGGGGGACGGGCGGCACCCGCTCTGGGGGGAGGTTCAGCGCTCGGTCCCGGCCTTGGCCGAGCGGCGCGCCCGCGGCCCGTGACGGTGTGCCCGGTGTCCCTCAGGTGCGGGCTGGCGGCCGGCCGGAGCTACAGCGGCGGCGGCGCGTACCCCAGCGTGTCGCTGACCTGCCCGCTGCCCGGCGTGCCCAAGGCCGTGTTCGCGGCGGCCGAGAGCCGGGAGCGCTTCGAGACGCGGGTGACGGTGCTGGAGAACGGGCTCCGCGTCGCCTCCCAGAACAAGTTCGGGCAGTTCTGCACCGTGGGCACTTCTTTTAGCTCACGGAGTACCGGGCACGGAGTACCGGGCGGGGCTGGGGACCCCCGGTGTCCCCCCGAGCCGGGCTGTGCTTGCGAGGCCCGCGGGTGTAAAAGTCACGCTGGTTTATTCTCTTCTTTGCACCAGTTCTGGTGAATTCGGGATCGAGACACGAAGCGAAATACCTCAGTGGGATCTCCCACTTCTTGGAGAAGCTGGCGTTCTCTGTGAGTACTGCCCTGGGGCCCCCAAATCCGCACAGAGCAGCCAAAGGGCTGACCCGCAGGGCTCTCTGCACTCAGCTGTTAAACAGTGGTGAGAGCATCGACAGAGTCACAGAATCTTAATTGCTTATTAATTAGCATGACTGTAATTAAATTCTAAAAGTCTTTGTGGTTTCACCTCCAAGGCTGGTACATAGTGATCAAACCATTGGACTGAAAGAATGTCAGAGATGCTCTGGGTTACACTGAAGGGTTATAAACAGTTATTGCTTTACTAATTAATAACATTGGTATCTTCTTCCTTAGTCCACAGCTCAGTTTGGCAGCAAAGACGAAATTCTCCTCACCTTAGAGAAGCATGGAGGCATCTGTGACTGCCAGGCATCGAGGTGGGTGCTCCTTCTGCTCTTACTGGGTGTTGCAGCACTGACAGCACTTTGAATCTCTCTTCCTGGTGTGGGGCAGGAAAATCCACTTTTTGTTCCCAAGCAGCAGAAATCCCTTTGTTTGGGCTGCTGGGAAGCTACAAAAGCAAGCCTGAAAGGATTATAAAACTCAAATCTATTTCATTTGAGAAGCATTTAATGGTTAGAACAGCTTCATCTGTGCTTTCCTGACGCTGAGATGACACTGAGTGACCCCAGAAGTGATGTCTCAGTGCAGAACCTGTGTTTTGTGTTGCAGGGACACCATCATGTATGCAGTCTCTGCTGATGCCAGAGGCCTGGACACCGTGGTCAACTTGCTGGCTGATGTAACCCTCCAGCCCAGGTTATCAGGTCTGGCAGCACAATCCTCTGCCTCAAATAAAACCATTTCCACCACATGGCTTGCTCCAAGAGCTCAAAATTCCCTCAGAGGTGACCTTGCAGCAGCTGGGGTTTTCTGTAGGGGTTGCCATCCCTTGCTTTGTCTCGTTGCAGATGAAGAAATTGAGATGACCCGAATGGCCATCAGGTTTGAGCTGGAGGATCTGAACATGAGGCCTGACCCAGAGCCTCTCCTGACAGAAATGATCCATGCGGTAACACACTGGAAATTCTGCATTCTCTTTCTTGTTTTGGCAGCTTCAGGGTTTATTTTATCTGGTTCTAAAACCAGATTTTCTGTTATTCAGTTTCTGTGATGGGAGAATTTTGCTGTCCCTTCACTTTGAAATCCAGCATTCTCCACATGTGGAAGATTCTAACCCAAACTAAAAAAAACCTATTTGTAACTTTCCTTTGTTGATGTGGGTGACAAAATGTTACTGAGTTGCACTGACATTAGTTAAATATGCTCAGCTTTGCCTCTGTCAGATGTGGGCTTGATTCCAAAGCAAAAAGAGGTTTAGAGGGGTGTTCAGGGAAAAATGAAGTGGTTTGTGACTTTAATGTGCCTGTTCCCTTTTAGGCAGCCTTCAGAGACAACACAGTGGGACTGAACAGGTTCTGCCCCGTGGAGAACACGGACAAAATCACCCGGGACGTGCTGCACTCCTACCTGAGCAGCTACTACACCCCAGACAGGATGGTGCTGGCTGGGGTGGGCATTGAGCACGAGCACCTGGTGGAGTGTGCCAGGAAATACCTGCTGGGGGTGGAGCCCGTGTGGGGCTCGGGGCAGGGCAGGGCTGTGGACAGCTCCGTGGCTCAGTACACCGGAGGCATCGTCAAGGTACGTGGTGGCAGCCAGCAGCTTGCTGGGATTTGCTGATTTCTCTACAGGCTTTTGCTTTTCTTAAGTTGTATTTCATGGGTATGAGCCCAAACTGGCTATGATAGCTGTAAATTGGGTGGCGAGGTCATTATTGGGAATGTATCAAACTGCTGTGAAAATCGGGGTTAATGATCTGTCTGCCCTTCCCACAGGTTGAAAAAGACATGTCAGATGTGAGTCTGGGCCCTACTCCCATCCCAGAGCTCACCCACATCATGATTGGGTTAGAAAGCTGCTCATTTTTAGTAAGTATTAACCTGAAATCCTTTTTTGTGTGCCTTATACTTGGAGAATCCCGGGAACACTGACTCATTCCACAAACATTTTGCTGCTGCACATAAAAACAAGCAGCATTTTCCAGGACACTTTACTGAAGACCTTGACCTTCACACTGCTCTTGTGCTGTGTTTTTTCCCTCCCCTCTACTCACCCCAGACCCTCGAGAGCTCTGCCCTTACCTGAGTTTGTTGTTCCACTGCAGGAGGATGATTTCATTCCTTTTGCGGTGCTAAACATGATGATGGGAGGTGGTGGCTCTTTCTCAGCTGGAGGACCTGGCAAGGGCATGTTCACCCGGCTGTACCTCAATGTGCTCAACAGGTGGGTTTGTCTTGCTGTTTAAGGGCTGCCAGAAACAATCCTGTAGCAGCTTTGCATGGGAAAAAGGAAACCCCACCAGGTTTTACATCAGTTTCATCTGCTGGGACTGGTGTGTCAGTTGGCATTTTGAGAGGGTGAAAGTAAAGGGCAGAAGTGACCAGGAGTTGTGTTTTCTTCTGGTAGCCCTGTCCTTGCTTTAATCGGGGAGTATTAACAGGATTTGCTCTGTATTGTCAGGGATTCAAGTGGAGAGAAGGGAGTAGATGCCACATGCATAAATTATCAAAGAAGGGATTGACAATTCTCACTGCACTGCTGAGAATCCTGAGAATGCACTAGGAGGGTGCTCACTGTCCATGTTTAATTTTTACATTGTAAATTCTGGGTTTTAAATTTTAAATTACTCTTTATATACTCACAGGCACCATTGGATGTACAATGCCACCTCTTACCACCACAGCTATGAGGACACAGGTCTCCTGTGTATCCATGCCAGTGCAGATCCAAAACAGGTACAGAGTCCTTAAACAGTAACCACATCAGTTCCAGAGTTCTGTGGACACAGGAAGCATTGTTCTGATCTTCTTTCCATGATCTGTTTTCCCCAGGTTCGGGAGATGGTGGAAATCATCACCAGGGAATTCATCCTCATGGCAGGAGCAGTGGGAGAGGTCAGCAGCACATTTGAGTTTGCAGATGGTTTTTGAGCTGAAATAATCCCTGGAATGTCCAAGGCCAGGCTGGACAGGACTTGGAGCACCCTAGGACAGTGGAAGGTGTCCCTGCCCATGGCAGGGAGTGGCACTGGGTGGGCTTCAAGGTCCCTTCCAACCCAAACCATCTGGGATTTTGTGAATGCATTGCATTGACTGTGCTAGAATGGACTTTTATAGATAATTTTGTTATATATTTCTGTAAAAGAATACAGCAACATTAGCAATGCATCCACAAGGAGAGAGGTGTCTGCAGAGCTCTTCCATGTTACCTTGTGCTGCAGAGCAGCAACCAGAACTTTTTTCTTTCCTGCTCATTCACAGGTAGAACTTGAGAGAGCAAAGACACAGCTCAAGTCCATGCTCATGATGAACCTGGAGTCTCGGCCAGTGATCTTTGAAGATGTGGGGAGGCAGGTTTTGGCAACAAACACAAGGAAGCTACCTCATGAGCTCTGTGACCTCATCAGTGAGTAGACAATGCTTTGCCTTGCCTTGAGGGAACTGTAGGTACAGTTAAAATACTCTTGTAGCACTGATGAATTACCTCTGAAAGTGGGGGCATAAATACTACAGAAATACATTTCAAACTGAGCTTAATTGCTTTCACAATTAACAACACAGGGCTTATTTTAGTCAGAAGGAAGGTAAAACAAGAATCATGGTGGAGAAGATATGGAGTTGGTTTTCTGAGCATGGGCCCAAAGCTGCTTTGTGCTGTTCACAATGGAGGTATATCACAGCTCTGCCTTTCTTCTGCCTGCAGGTCAGGTGAAACCCAGTGATATCAAGAGGGTGGTGACTAAGATGCTGCACAAGAAGCCAGCAGTGGCTGCCCTGGGTGACCTGACAGATCTGCCCACCTACGAGCACATCCAGGCTGCCCTTTCCAGCAAGGACGGGCGGCTCCCACGGCTCTACCGCCTCTTCCGATAGAGCAGCACCTCCTGCCCGGCCTCAAATCCCTTCTTTTTTAATGTTTTTTTTTTTTTATTCTCATGTTGCTGTAACACCCTCCCTCCCCCCAATGCTCCCAGGCATTCTGTGCAACCATGGAGCTGAGCAAAGCTGCTGTGGAGCACTGGATTGTGAAGAGCTCGTGTTAGGAGCTGGCTCTGGAGGAGGAGTTTGACCCTCGGAGGAGGTTACAAGAGAAGATGGGTGTTGAGACCCTTCTCTTGGATTTGGGGAGAACAGAGCAAGCCAAAATGTTCATCACTACAGTGAAAGCACATCTCTGAGCAGTGAGTCACTGCCTCTTCATCACCCCAGCAGTGGAAGTGGGGCTGTCACATGAGGCCCCACCGTGCCCTTCCTGAGGAATGTGTGGCACCTTAAACAGCTTGGCTTCATGTCTGAATTCAGAGAATATTTATGACTGTTACCAAGGTGAACTAAGACTTGGTCAAACTGAATTAGGAAAATAATAGTTACTGTCCCTGTGAAGTTGGCAAAAAGTTTCCTGCAATCCAGATTTTGTTACAAATCATGGATCCATTTCATCAGTGTAATTCACCATCTGACAAGGAATCACCCTCCTGGGAGTAACTTCATCATCTTGCTAGAGTTCCAAGGAAAGCAGCCCCATGACAGAACCAATTTTCTGTGGAGTTTCTCTGCAGAGGTACTGTACATAATGGACACTTACTTGAGAATGAGATTGATCCTATTTTTTAGGTTTTTCACTTGGACATGAACTGTGCTAAAGAGTAGATGTTCTTTTCCTCCAGAGTTGCTTTAAAAACAGTTATTAAAGGAGTTGCTGCTGCTGCACCCTAAACTCGTGCCTCATTTCCTCAGTGTCATCCAGATGGACTTAAGGCCTTGCAAAAAGAAGACACAATCAGTCTCACAGCAGAGATGTGGCTCAGCTGGAAGTCAAGATAACAAAATCACAACATTTAGAAACACAATCTTGACTGACACCCTGCCACAGAACGCCAAGTGCCACATGTGTGACATGCTAAAGAAATGGAGTCTCAAAAGAGAAATAAACCACTGGATTTATATAATCCCCTAATAAATGGGTTTAAAAATACAAAACGGCTGCACTGCAGCTCTTTACTGCTAGATGTGTGTGGTAAGGAGCAATGCAGCTGGGAGCAGAGCACTGTGAGGCTGCTGTGACCTATTTTACCCCATCCTTTCCTCATGCAACTCAAAGAAAACGTTGCATTGCTCCCTGCAGAGGGAAAAGCAGCCTAGGGCTAGGGCTGGTTCCATGGAAAAAGCTGTGAAGGAAGGCACGTTGTGGCAGTTTTGTGTTCCCCTTGGGATGCCCTTTGCAGCTGCAGTGTGCCTGGGGCCCTGGGCTTTGTGCTTTTCAAAACCCTAACCCACACAGTGTGGAAGTCCTGTTCAGTTGTTGTGTATGCTTGTGAGGAAATAAAGAGACCTCTGAACAACTGAGCAAGTAGTAAGAGTTCTGAAATTCATCTGCCAAAGCTTTCCTGAGCTGGCCAGTGGAGTATGCTCTGTTCAGTGCAAACAATTCCAGAGAAATCTCTCCCACCCAGCTGAAGACATAGCCCAGGTCACCCAAACACACCATGCAAAGAACTCTGGTTCTGACAATAAAAGCTAGTTCTCACTTAAGGTATTGCATTAATTTATTTTTATTCCTTTAAAAAGAAAGGAAATCCAAATACCTGATGGCTACAGACAGGTCAGTGCCATAAATGTACCGCAGAACAGGAGCCTGTCTTGGACAGGTTGCATAGTCAGCAGCACTTCCTCCAAGGTGTTTGCATGATGTTTTAGGTCCTAAGGTGATTAATGATCCCATCTGTGCCCATGAGGAGTTCTTAATTGTTAGCTGTACTTAACATTTTACCAGTGCCATACTGGTCCTTGTAGTATATATAGCCTTAAGACAACACTACCTCAGAAATAGCAAGTTATTCACAGTTTACTGATCTGGAAAAATAAAACCAAAAGGAATTGTGACTGGAGGTAATGGAGCTGTGTGGAGCTGAGTGGCTGCAGTTGCTCTGCAAACCTCCCTGGTGCACTCACTTGGCATCACTTTGGTGAAGCATCACACAGTGCCTGTTCTCAGGTAAATTCCAACTCCTGCTGCTGAAGGCAGGTAGTGCTCAATCAGCCCTGGGGAGGACAAGTGAGTTCAGGAAGGGATTGCTTCAGGCAGTCTCAGCAGATAAATATATGGCCTGAGAGTTTGGTATTTACCCCCTTAGTAACAGAAGGCCTATAGAATGATTATTGAAAGGCAATGTTTCTACACTTCAATGTACAGGAGTACATTCACAACAATTTGCTGTAGAGGACCCAAAAAGCCCAACACAGGAGCACCATCCATACACACAACTGCCATGAACTGGTCCCTGTTACTCCTTGTACAGAATACCAACACTTGGCTACAGAGAAGGAGCAAACCCAACCCCACACTGGATGGAAGGTAATCTGACCAAACCAAAGAGACAAACAAAGAATTCACCTTTCTGCAGGCTTTTCTTAGGTCCCCTGCTCTTGGTGATGACAGTTCCAGCAGCTGTGCCCCTGCGTGGAGGGGAACCAAGGGTCTGCACCCAGTGGCTTCCTAAGATAGTCTGGTTAAAAATAAATCAATTACACCAGCTGGGATGGATGTCTTAAAGAACTGACTCCTTTTCTTAGGCAGAAGCACTTGAGCTACATGGATTAGCTCATGCAAATGAATCCAGGATGAGGTTTAAGACATTCTTCACAAGCCACAGCAACTGCCAGAGGTGCTTATGCAGACAATTCCCTGCAGAGTTTGCCATGGTCTGAAATCCTCTTTCGGGGCACCTCTGCCACAAGCACTGCAGAGCTTTCAGCTCAAGAAATGCTACATATGCTGCTGGATCTTTGGTCCTTTTGTTCCCGGCGTCTCAGAAGTTCCCTCGTGGCCCGCCTCCTTATTCCAATTAAATACAGATCTCTGTCAAACAGCCCTGCAGCCAGGGGGATGCTGCAACAGGAACACAAGCCAGCAGGTCAGGGCATAAATAGCTGCTTGTTTGCCCAGCATCTCCTACTACTTCACACAACAAAGGCCATAAATCTGATTTTTACTTTCTTAAGGCATTCAGCGATTGCTGTGGGAGAAACAAGAGCTTTCACAGCAAAAAGTTAAGGTTTTTCACAATACTTTAAAATGCTGGTTGTAAAAGGGAAATGTACTTTAAATTTTAGCATGAACTCACCTGCCTTCATATATAGAGGACTTTCTTAATTACTCTGAACTAAAATCCACTCATTTGAAAAGCTATACCAGGTTACTGCTGACTCGGTGTACTCACTGGTGTGGTTCATCTCAACAATTCTTACCTTGGTCTCTTTTAGAGAGGAAACCTGAGCAGCCCATCACACACTGCTATTTAATGGGTATTTAATACCCAGAAACAAAAATTCCCATTGTAATTGCACTGCTGATCCAATACTTTGAGAAATCCCTTTTCTAGATATTGAGGTCTTGAAATCCTTGACCATGTTACTCACAAAAAAGAGAATAATTCCAAACCAAATTTCCTAAGGAGTTCTACTAATACAACAGCCTATGTAGGACATGAAGAACTTGGAGGATCTCAAAATGCTCCACTGACATCCAGCTGTGCTGAACTGCAGCCATCACTGGGGAGGGAAAACAGAACTGATCCTAAAGAAGGAAAGAGGAAGAGAAGAGGAAAGCTGCCCATGCTGATAGGAAAAACAAAGAGCTGCATCTCAGATATTTGCATTCGATTCCAATGGGCTCTGTTTATCCCCCTCAGAAGGATTAAGAGACCTGGCAGCAGGGATTTCAGCTGGCAGGGCAAGGTTTAAGCTCTTACTGCTCTGACCACCAGCATGTACAGGGTAAAACCCAAACAGGCTGCAGGGATAGACACCCGAGGATATCCTCAGGGTCACTGGAGCAATCAATCATGTGGAGCTGCAGGAGGTACTCACTTGTCTCTGCCAGGCCTCACTTTCACACGAAACAAGGCAAACACAGGTCGGTGGTCTGAGGTTTTGATGACAGGACAGGAGGAGTATTTGACAGCCTGGATGTCATCCTTGTAGCGGCTGCGGAACACGACTCGGTCCTGGAGGCAGGGGGAGAGGGGACAGTGAGGGTGACTTCCCTGCACATCACCCACCCTGGAAAGCAGCACTGCTTCACAAGAGACAAATCCATTCAGTCATCATGCTCCACTTGGTGAAGTTAACGTGTCCTTGGATGGGGATCCATTCATTGTCTGATCCCAACAGTTCTGTGCCAGCTCTGAGCACAGGGGAGAGCCCACTCAGGATGTAAGGCAGGGAAAATAAGGTTAACAGCCTGGGCCAAACTCTCCCTGTGCTCACAGATTCTACAATCCTTTCTTCCACAAGTCCCAGATGCCCTTAAGCAACAATCTCAGCACAACTGAATCCCCTTTGACTCCTGAAATTATTCCTTACCGTGTAGGAGGGAGTCCTTTGCTTGGAGGTGGTGTCATAGCTGTCCTTTCCTATGTCAAACTTGTAGGAAGGACGGAAATGGATATCAGCCTCTTGGAATCCTTTGAAAATAGACCCTGTAAGGGAAGGGGGAATGGCATGAACAAACTTCTCCTTCCTGAGAACTGTGTCTACTAATGCTGGCTAGAACAAGAGCCATGTACATCAAAAACCTGGGCTTGGGCTCCAGAAAGGGAGCAAGCTCCCATCCTGACATGGAGAGGATAAAAAATAGCCAGTGGCTGTTTAGTCAGTGGTCAATTAAACAAAGAAGAACTGGTCCGTGCACTTCCACTGAAAGCTCATGCTGCTTTGTAAATGCTGTTCAAATCTAAATTCCCTGGACACTGGGACAGAGAGATACCCAGCTTATGAAGGAGTCAGATGAAACAGCAGCAAATGGCTTGGGAGGTTTCATGAAACAGAACAACCTGCTACAGCAACAAGTCCCTTGACACACTGCCACTGCATTTGACAGCTGCTGACTCCCTTCTTCAGGGAACTTAATCAAAGAAAGCAGGAAAGGTCTCCAGGAAATGGAGACTGGGCTGGCATTACTCCTGTGTGTAGGTATCTTTGTTTCTGGAGAGCAGGGAGATGAACAGCTGGCCCTTACCCCGGCTCATCTCACTGGTCAGCTGGTCATACACCAGCAGCTTGGACACGTCTGTGTCCGGGTTCTGGTTCAGGATGGAATCCACCGTCTCCCGATCCTTATTCAGCCGGAAGTTGAAGTCCCCAAACCAGAAAACTTCATCAAACCGAGTTGTGACATCACCTGCAAATTCACAGCACAAGTGTTCAAGGGATGCTGCTGAATGTGTTTGAGGAAGAAATTCCTTCTTTTCACTACCTGGAGATGTGATATTGAGTATGTTTTCTACCTGTGAGCACCACTGAATATGGGAGTTAACAACCCAGGAGAAAACAGAACAGAAATGTTAAAAACCATAGAAAAAGCTGAAAAGAGACCAAACTCTCTATGGGACCTAACACCAGAGGGAACACAAAAAGCTAATGTTACACTGTAGATAAAGAGTATATTCAATTTCCTAGTAAAAGGACCTACTTATCTATGTAGGTATCAAGTTGTCAGCACAGTGAAAGGAAACAATAATGGACTTTGGCAAACAATGCTCTGACCCATGTACATGCAGTGACATAAGGTTTATCCTCTTAAATTAGAAATAAAGTAATTCCTAATTGTCCCAGAAAACTTGGGAAAGTGAAACACGTCTGTAATATTAATAATATTAAACCAAAATTATCATATTGCTAAAAAAATACATCACGTAAAAATTCCCTGTTGAATTTTCTCTCTCCCATTTCAATTTTTTCTCAAATCCCCAATTTCAAGAAAAAAAAAATCATGGGAGTCATAACCATCCTCAGACAAAAAGATCTGTATTTTCTTTTTACACTCTCAAATTATCACTCTTCTTGTCTCTTTCCCAGTGCAGACTGAGAGACAATGCCCAGACTCTGCTGACCTGGGCTCCCCCACGCTCATGGTTTCCCACTTACTGGAACTGGATCGATACGGATTTGTGTCCGGAACATTCTTGGGAAGTGTAAGGGCTTGAATGGTTTTATTGTAGTCCAGTTTCCTCTCATTCACTTTACTGTCCCCAGCTGCAAGATAGAAACCCCATTACTGCCAACAGTGAATCATTTTCATGCAATGATCATTTTTGGTTAAACCAGGAGCTTCCAAAGGGTATCAGACATTTTCCACATATAAAATGTGACACTCTGGAAGTGTCTGCACTGAATAATGATGGCAGAAAGTGAGGGAAAAGGGACACAATGGTGCAGAGTTCATTTCTGTTTCCACAAACACAGTTCTTTTGTGAGTTTGTTACCAAACAAACCTCCCTTATCCTTCTCAGCTCAGCAATCCTGAGCTTTGGCTTCAGCCTGTCCTGCTTTTTCACCTCTGTT